TAACATTAGCGCCCAAAGATCACTTCCTCGACTCCCTGCAAGGAAACAATCCCGGAGCTATCACTTCCATTACATGCCTCAACATTCAGTATCCAGTTCTAGCTGTATTGATCGGGATACAACTCCGAGTGTCTGTTACCGTAGGACAGGCTATTGATAGATTTTTTCTTCCCTGCAGGGGTGCACCAACTTACCCAACACGCTCGATCAACTCCGGCCGGACACACCATCAGGTCATGACCGGCCTCGGCCGATCAACACACCGTAGTCCTACCTAGGCTCAACAGAGAGGCCAACATGCCGGTCTACATCCTAAATGCGAAGGGGTCATGGGCCAATCGCCCTTTGCAATCCTGCGCGTTGCGAGGGCGGCCGGTGAGCAGACCTGGCAACCTCGTTTAAATAAGGCAAGTGCTTACGCAGTCCAACCCGGCACGCGCTGCTCCATCGCTGACATCAGTGAGCTTTTAGCTGATACATATGATGCAAAGTGCCCATACTTATTCCCGCGTGGTGGTTAGTGCTATCAGGCCAGAGGCCCCTCGGATCAAATATCCAAACCGTTAGTGTGTTGGTAGTGCGGTCACGAGCAGAGACTCACGAAAGATGTGACCCCGTCGCCCCGTCTTGAGGACTTGCGGCAAGGGCTAAGAATGCCCGGCCACGCCTTGTATTCAACTCTCGGGTACCCTCCAGGTCAACCCGTCTCCACATCACTCGCGGGTATCCCTCAGGGTCGACCCGCCTTTCCAAGTAACAGTTATAAAGTCCAAGTATCAGTGTGTCCAAACACCAGGGGGAAACCCCGAGGAATCACCCTCGGTGGATTATACTCGATGTAATCATCAAGGTGAACGTAGGAGGAACCACCCTCGAGGTTCACACTTGAGGGGTTGCACGACAGAGCCATACCAGAAGTGGTTAAGGAGGAATCACCCTCGATGAGCACAATCGAATAGCTACACTACAGATTTCTCATCGGGAGTGATGTATGAGGTACCACCCTCGGCACTCGATGGTAACTCTGCAGAGTCGAACAACAAAAGGGGCGTGATGTGATGTGAGGTGTCGGGCTCTGGTTGTCGATCACGTTGATCGAGTCATCGATGATGAAGCAGGGGCAACAAGGACAAGGTGGGGGTCACTGATGGATCACTAACCAACCTATACTAAGCAGTTTAGGATAAGCAGATATGTAACAATAAGCAGGTTACAAAAGCAGGCTATGCATCAGAATAGGAGCAATCAATTACAGTAGCAGAATCTAATGCAAGCATGAGAGAATGGATTGGGCGATATCGGGATGGTCAAAGGGGGGGCTTGCCTAGAAGCTCTGCTGAAAAGGAAGAAGTGTCGTCGTCGACGTAGTCGATCACAGGGGCAGCATCAATCTCGGGGTCTACCGAAGAAAAAAGGGGGAAGAAACAATAAATACAAAGCAAACATAGCATCATAAAGCATAACATGGCAATATGCTCTGTCGGATGTGACCTAACGTATGGCTACACGAATAAGGTGAAAGGGGAATTCAACCAGGAATGTTTTCCCGGTTCCGGATTGGTGTCAGACAGATGACCGGAGGGGCAATGTTCCATGTTCAGCATGCTAGGGGCATGTGACAGATGAATGGACCGCGTACTCGGATTCGTCTCGTCGTTCTGAGCAACTTTCATGTAGAAAACATTTTCATCCGAGTTACGGTTTATTTTCTATGAATTTTCAAAGTTTTATTAATATTCTGGAATTAAAACTAATTCAAAAATAAAGATTAAATTGGTATGTGCACACATAAAGTGTACACATCAAAGCAACATAGAGGCTGACAGTGGGCCCCGTTGACTACCCAGTCAGCAGTCAAGGTTGACCCATTGACTGGTCAACAAAGTCGAAGGGCCCACATGTCATCTGGCCGCAGTCACTGACCGCTGGGCCTAGTCAAACGCCACGTCAGCAGTCAAAGCTGACGCGTGGGCCCACGGTTATTAATCTAATCCTACCAGAAAATTAAATAGAGTTTACTTAACGGTGGGGCCTGGTTGTCATTCACTCTAGGCTATCCTAATCAACGTCATTAGCGCCTAATGATGACGAACACGTCAGCGCCGCCGGAGTTACGCCGGCGACAACGCAACCGATGGCGGAACTTCACCGCGCGGGCGCTACAGGGCACCAAAACGCGCGCGGTTTGCGGCTACAGCTAGCTGGCGATGCGGCGCATCCGACAGAGCAAGCATCAGGGGCGGGGGTGGCCGGAGTGGCGCCAGCGACAAGCCGTGGCGGCGGCGGTGTTCGGGCGTGGACGTAAACGGCGTTAGCGGGCTCGGGGAAACGCAGGCGCGTGCGCGTTGGGCTCCTGGGAACCTCACGAGCTCGTTTACGAGCTCGAACGCGAGCTGCGGCAAAGGTGCCCACAACGACGAGCTTCACCATGGCAGCGGGGCAGCACCAATGGTGACGGCAACTAGGGGGCGAGGTCGACGACGGTAGCATAGGGGAAAGGTCGGGGAGCTTACGTATGAGCTCACGGTGGCTCGTTGGAAGGTTAGGAGCAGCAGGGCGCCGAAATCGGAGAGGAGCACCGGTGGTTGCCGAGGAAGAAAAAGAAGGCGTCGGCGTCGATGCAGGGGCGCCGAGCTCGAGGGCTGGTCGTGGGTGAAGGAGAGGTCGACGGCGGAGCCCTTGGCGCGATCCTAGGCGAAAGGGACATCGGAGAGCGCGTAGATGGTGTCGGCCATGGCGACTGCGGTGGTGGTCGTGGCGGATCTGGGCGAGGAGGATCTGGTGGGGAAAGGGGAGAGGAGAGGGGCGAGGTGAGTGGGGAGGGAGCCCGAGGCGTCGGGGTTGTGGAGGCCTTATCCTCTCGCGGGGGTCGTCGCCGGCGAGGTGGTCCGGCGGCGACCAACCTCCTGTAGCGACGCGCACCGGGGGAATAGTGGAGAGACGACCGGGGCACGGAGCTGGGCCTGGCTGTCTGGGTCTGTCTCTATGGCCTTAGGCCCAGGGGCGGGGGGGGGGGGTCCCCTTTTCCTTCTTTTTTTTGCAGCTTTTGCATTTCCTTTTAGCCACTAATGACTTTGCAAATTATGCCACTGGCCAAAACAATTCCAAAGAATTATTGGGCACTGCCACAAAAAGATTGTGAGGCTTTTGAAATAGTTTGCAATTTTTATAAACTAAAAAGGCATTTAATTTATTGCTTAGGTCACTGTTTTAAGTAGTTTAGGCCACTTAAACATTTTGCAAAAATGTTGGTTCACCACCAATATTAACAAATGATTATTTGCCACATGATGAGCATTTTATTTTTCATGTTTGAGCAAATTTGATTTTCATTCATAATTAGGAATTGAATTCAGGTGGAGTTTCAAATGGGATATTGATCAAAGTGACTAAGCACTGTTTTAGCAAAAAGATTAACTTGATCTCAAGGATTACTGTAGCATCATTACACAGGGGTGTTACACCTCGTGGACACCCCCGCCGAGGGTGGGAACTAGCTGTTCTTGGTCGAGTGAGGGGAACAAGACGAGGGTGAGGTGTTTTATTTCGCGGGAGCAATGAACATAGACCAAATCGGAGGGGCTGGGCTCAGTAACATAGGAGAGCTAGATGCGTAAGTGGGATTTCAGGGCTGTATTGGATCGATTACAGACCGCTGTTTCCGTTCACATGCCAAGAAACCGAATTGGAAGTTTGGGAATACCAAATCCAATTCGGAGCCCCAATACAGACATGCAAATACAGTGTTAGTGAGATACCAATGTATCAATCCATGGAAGTACAAAATTTGAACATCAATTATGAGTGATGCAACACAAATAAAAACTTTAATTGTGCCCCCAACAACACTAACAAAGGTGTCAAACTTAGAAGTTTTCCTAGTTGTACAGAATATTAGAAGATAAATGCATAATCTTACTCTTGAGGTCTCAGCTATGGCATGGCGCATCAAGCAGCCTAGGTCGCCGTGCAGAAGACAATGTAGAGGTGGCCGACTGTCGCGGAGGAAAAAGAAGAAGAAACCTTTGACATGCTCCATTTGTGAGTATCTATGCAGAAACGAAAAAAGAGTGCAGAAGAGGCCAAAAAAGTGCTGACTCTACTATAGGTGCTGACCCTTCATTGCATATAGCGGGTGGATTATTAGGTAGCCCCAAGAGTGGTTTTGCTTGCTATGGAATCCCAGCAATTCAAAATCAACTCATTTGTATATACTTTGCACATAACAGTTTTGTTCATAACCATGTATTTTTCGTTTCACTTGAATCAAACTCTGACAAGCCCATGGCCTTGTCAGAAAATGTTTCAGATCAATCGAATTTGGAGAGTTTCATTAGTGGAACAAAATACAGCCGTATGAACAATAAATACATTAACAAATACTGTATGAGATATGGCACTAGGTTGTGACACATTACCACAACAACAGAAGTGAAAATACATCTTCAGCAAGATAAACCAGTCAAGGGAGGCAATTAAAAAAAAGTACATGGCCACGGTAGCAGGAAATATCAATATAACACGGTAAACCTGGTTCAGTTAGATGAGTTGAACATCTCAGTACTTATTCTAAGCCGCTTCACTGAGTTGAACCAACATGAATGTCCTACAAAAGGCCGCATCCTTGTCACTGCTGCAAATTGCATTCGTTCCTTAATACAGTAATTAAGATGAGATAGGCCATATGTCTTCAGCCAAGGCCTTCTTTCCCTCGAAACCTGTACAAATATGGAAGGATGAGAAGTTTGCGGGGGTGTCATTTGGGAAACAAGGAATTTCAGCTCCTTGACAAGGAAACAAGGGCCACAAGATTCAGTCCATAATTTTTCATATTTTCACATACCAAACTGCAGAATAATCTAATTACTCAAAAGTTTGCACATATCAACATCTGGTTAGAGTTGAGATCTTGATTAGCTGTTAGGATTAGCTTTCTAGTAATGGCATCCCGTCGTTTAATAACAAATACTCATGTCAAGATTTTCCGACAATCTGTCTAATTATGAAGAATCAGATGGCCCTAGCAAATAATTATAGACCATAATGCTGACATTGTAAGTCAACAAGTAAACAAGTTGAGTTGCAACTAGAATAGGACCCACAAAAAGTCAGAACTGTTCAACTAAGTCAACATGCCATGCTACCATGTGTGCAGTGCATTTCAATCTAAACAGCATTATAGTTTCCACTTCCAAACAACACATTGAGTTATTTTCCACCAACCAAATACAGAGCAGGCTTCTCGTTACTCAAAGATTTGGAATAACATTCACTTTTTCTAGTAAACTAGGAGTCTCTTCACTGTTTTCTTTCATCCCCGTAAATGAAGGCAAACTGCAGAAATGTAGAAAGAGTGGTGACTGTTGATAGTTAGCTTACATATGTTAAGTGTACCAAGGAACTTCAAAATTTTGAGAAGTTCTGCATCAACCGAGTTACATTTGACTTCGACTGCCTTAAGGTGTTTTGATATTGCAGCTGAGCTCTCCACTGCATTGCAACCTCCTTTTATTTCCACTTTATGATTAGGTCCCTGCAGGCAAAAAGATTGAATCAAAACCGATCGGATAATAGATAGTGTAGTTTTGCAGTGCAAGCTAAAGAATTCCCATTTTGACAAAGTATGTATACCTTGGAAAAGAAATGAAGAGTGAGAATCTCCAAAAATGGTGAGTGTTCAAGAATACAAGCTAGTGCGTGGAAGTCGTCGGGCACGCACCAGCATTCATTTAGTAACAAAGTCTTTAACTTACTAAATATAGGGCACCACATCAAATCCCTTCTGAAAATAAACTGTAGAAATTGCAAACCAGAGAGAAAAAAATTAATCGTCACTGCGAACATGATGATTGTTTTTATTTTCTCGAGATTACGGACGATTGTTGTAAGCGTGGGGAATAATGCAAAAGCTCTAGCTGGTTGCATTGTTTATGACTGACTAAGCATAATTTTAGATGGTTATAGATATTGCAACAGATATATAATAGGACCGCAAAAGTAAATGGGGGTTAAAACATACATACCGTGTCATGTTCGTCTATCAATGTCAAATTCTCAGCCTCTGATAAACCTTTGAGAAGCACCGAGTCATGAGAATTAACAGCCTGTAGATCGTAACAACCTTGACAGTCCTCATTGTGGCAATCCCAAGAGTCAGAATAAAAACACCTGTCCACAGATTCCTTGATAAATCTGATGAATGCAGCCTTCAACGACGGCATGCTCTCAAGCACAGGAGTCCTGTCCCAGTTGTCCTCTAGTCGTACAGAAACTAGACTTGGAGCATAAATACGAGTACGGGAATGCTGATTGAAACTGCTATCAATGATGGCCAGGCGTTTTAGAGACTCTGAAGAGATCTTCCTGACATGGACGAAACAGCCATTGATGATTACCAGATCTTCCAGCGCCGGACAGCAGGCAAAATCAAGAAAGCTGTCATTTAACCCTGTGTCAATGAGCTCTAGCCTCCTCAAATGCTGAGAGGCAAGAGGCAGGTTGTCTACATAAAAGTAAACACCGTAGCCGTCCCGAGAGATATCGAGCCGGAGCAGCCGAACTTGGCAGAGTATAATGTGCCGGATCCAGAGGCTCACACGGGGCACGTTGTCGTCGGAGACCACAGCGAACCTGAGCTCACACGTGTCGATTGGCGCTCCACAGCGAAGGAGCAGAAGGTGGTTCACAAACTCGCGGAGCTCCTGGACGGGCGTCACCTCCGACTCCTGGCCACCGGTGATGCGCAGGCCCGCGACTGATTTCCAGAGGTCGCGCCAGCGCCGGGCGAGCACGCAGGTCCGCACGGCCTGCTGCGCCGGGAGGAAGGAGAGGACGTGCTGCAGGAGATCTTCCGGTAGAACGCCGATGATGTCCTCGCCGCGGGCTAGAGCGGCCCTCTTGCCTTCTTGCGGCGGAGGCATTCCGTCAAACAGGTGGCGGGCGTCGAAGCTGCGGCACAGCCGTACAAGACACGATCAGGGAAATGCCGGCGTGGTGGCAAAGAGCGGAGACAGAAGCAGGGATCGCCGGGTCGCCGCCGCACCTCGCCGCCGGCAGTTTTCCCGCCGGAGCCGAGGGTGGAAGAGAAGAATGGCAACTGATACGAGCGATACGACGCGAAGGTCGCTACTGATACGAGTAATCGAGCGCCAAGGAGACCATCCGGGTTGAGGAGTTGGAGAAATGCGTGTGCGACATGGAGGATTCGCAGGACCTTGGAGTGAGAAGATAGCGGGGTTTGCTTGCGGGGTCACGGCCTCACGGGATTGAAAATTGAAATCCAACAATCGCAGACAGAGAACAAGCTTTGCCGAATATCTTCATTGAAAATCATGCCTAAAATCGGTTTCAAAGTCTTCGTCGTCTTCTTTCTCTTCTGATGACAACGAGTCCTCGGAGACCATATCTCTAAACCTCTTCATCTATAATTTAAATGGTTTGGTTCAAACCAAACGGCTCGGTTCAAAAAGAAACAAACGAAAAAGCTCATGTAGACAATCCGTCGAACACTTACGGCGCAATGGTGATGGACTGGCCATCCGCTATCGTTTGGGCCAAATCGGCGGGCAGAAAAGTGTGGGAGTGACCTGCAGCAGCACGCAAGCAAGGTCAGATACGGCGGCCACCAAAGAGGAAGCAAATACAAACCAATCTGACGAATCAGTTATGGCGGCGGCGGCGTTTCACCTTGATTTTGGCGACGACGACAGACGATGAACAAACTCGGCGGCGGGGAGAAGGGCGGCGAGAGCAAGTGAAAGGATCGATATGACTGACTAGAGGGGTGTGAATAGGCAACTGCCAAGTTTTAGCTTTTCTTAACAAATTAGGTTTAGCAACGAAAAAGTTGTTTAGATATGCAACTAGAAGAGCAACCTATATGATGCTAGCAACAAGAACAACACAAGCAAGCAAACAAAGAAAACAACACAAATAAACTTCACAAAGTAAAGGTAAGAAGTAACCACAAGTGGATCCGGAGAAGATGAGGATGTGTCACCGAAGTTCCTTCCCTTTGAGGGGAAGTACGTTTCTGTTGGAGCGGTGTTGAGGCACAATACTCCCCAAGAAGCCACTATGGCCACCGTATTCTCCTCACAACCTCGCACAATGCAAAATATCGTGATTCCACTAGTGGTGCCCTTGAAGGCGGTGATCGAACCTTTACAAACAAGGTTGGGGCAATCCCCACAACCGAATCGGAGGCTCACAACACCACCACGAAGCTTCGCCATAATGGATTGTGGCTCTGAGTTGACCTCAACCGTTTCGGGTGCTCAAACACCCAAGAGTAATAAGATCCGCAAGGGATTAGCGGGGGAATCAAATTTCTTTTGGTGGAAGTGTAGATCGGGGCCCTCTCAACCAAACCCTAGAGAATCAACAAGTTTTGTTGGTTAGTGAGAGAGATCGAGCGAAAATGAAGTTTTGAACAACAATGGAGTTTGGGGAGAAAGAGGTGGGTAGAGAAGAAGACCCTCTATATATAGTGGAAAGAAACCAACTGTTATCATGCTCACAGCCCGCACATAAGGGGTACTACCGCTCGCCCCAGCGGTTGCAGCTCAGGAGCCCACAGAGGCAGGGCAGGAACCGGGATGGTGGCAGTATCGCAACCGTACTACCGCTCAAGAGAGCGCAGGGGAGGATCCAGTATGGGTCAAGGGTGTACAAATGTACACCCAAATTTTGCTGCACAAAATTTCTATATATAGATAAATGGCAAAAATATACTAAGAGTAGCATACTTTGAGAGGCTACACACAGCTCTCATGTAGCAAATAGACCAACGACAACTAACCACACCTAAACAACCAGTAGACCAAGAGCAGCAACGAGCCACCTCTGCCCTCACGCACGAGAGATACTAAGAGCATCTGTAGCCGGACTTGGTAAATCCGACCCCCTAAACGCTTGCGGGCGCAACCGGGCCCGTCCATGGACAGTGGCCGGTCACGCCCCATACATGGTGCTATGCATCCGAGTCTCTCATATTTCATCACCTAAATCCATACCAAGATATATAGCTCTTGGTAATTTTTTCTTGTTACTGTTGTGAACAATTTGTATTGCCATGGATCAATGGACTTCTTTGTTAGTGTTGGAGTTGTGTCGAATATTGTGTACAAGGTAGGTTACAGTTGGACTATGAGTTGTATTGTGTTTACATGGGATGTGGAGTCATGTCCTAGTAGGACACTTGTATCCTAGGACTCTCATATATAGCGAGGGTAGACACACGATGTAACCTATGCCAACATAATAGCACCGAAACACAGGGGAAGCCGGCGGCATGTGCCAGCATGTCCAGGGCAACCAAGTGCGGTATTGTAGCAGTATCACGGGGAGGAGCGCCTATAGTCATGCCCCGGGGATGTAGCCATATCAGAGAACCTCGTTAACAAATCTCGGTGTCGTGCTCGTGTGATTGCTTGGTCCTCGGATGATCGACGGAGTGCTTCGGATTTTTATTTAAATGTCCCACCCATGGATCTCGTCTGACACAACTTGCAAAATGCAGTCCAAGGGTTCAGATAATCACACCTTACACAAATTATTCGCCACACCCTGTCTAGCTAACAAATGAGCTGCATTATTAGCAGAATGTCTAACCCAAGTGACCTTCCATCTCTCCCTCAAAGACATGAGTTGCTTAACCTCTTCGATGACCGGTCCCAACAGTGATAGATCCTTCTCCTTGCTGTTTAGTTTGCAAACAATATCTTGGCAGTCCATCTCCACATGCAGGCTTTGCACATTTAGCTCTTGTGCGAGATGTGCTGCTCTTTTGCATGCATATAACTCCACCCTTGTCGGTTCCTTACACTGAGGGTAGACATGGCCCGCCCCGCCCATGAAAGCCCCCTCCCAGTTCCTCAGGACAACACATGCGCCTCCCATCTCCCCAACCTTGGACATTGCTCCGTCAACGTTTGCCTTCACCCACCCCTCATCTGGCGGTCGCCATTTCTCTCTCGGAACAGGAATGTCTTGCTTGCTCTTTCTCCCATGGATGGATTGCCACTCTTCCATTAAGTGGAAAACTTTTCTCGCAATTGCTTCAGCATCTTCAATCCTCTGTCCTTCTCTTGCATTATTCCGGGCTAACCATAGTGCATACACACCTTGGACCAGGACCGCCTTTTCATCATCGGATGCATCCGCGAACCACATCATGAGCCACCTGGATAATGCACTATGGGGGCGTACAGACTCCAGTGGGATCGCCACCAACACCCCCAACTCCGACTGCATGATCTTCCAAAATTTCGCTGAGTGGAAACAGCCCCAAAATCTGTGATAGTTCGTTTCTTCTCTCCCACGCGCAACACAAAAAACGCCCTCCTTGATCTTCCTCCTGTGAAGCTCGATGCCCACCGCCAGCCCATTCCGAATAAGTCGCCACATGTGTGTTTTTACCTTGCCCGGCGCTACGGTATCCCATAGGCTCAACCATGATTTATGATCTGCCACCGTAGATGAAGTTTCCGGCCGACAAACTTTGAGGCATTTCTGAGCCATTCGCAAGTGGTATGCCGACCGCACCGTGAACACAACATCTTTGGTGAAGTTCCATGCCAAGTAGTCTTCCATAGTCGGCCCGCCAATCGAAATCTGCAAGATCTCCTCCACCTCGTCCGGGGAGAACATGGCGTGCACCTTGCTTTGATCCCATGCATTGCCTTGAACATTGAGGAGATCACTAACCTTCGTTATTCCATGTATATAGCTTTGGCCCAGTGGCCTTAAGCATCCCTTCCTCGGTATCCAATTGTCATGGTGTAGTTTAATTCTTGTTCCATCCACAATCCTCCAAATGAGCCCGTCTAACAGTAGGTTCCTACCATGAATGATGCTTCTAAAAGTAAAGGAGCCTCCGTCCGAGAAGTTGCATTAAGGATTGACCCATCCACAAAATATCGAGCCTTCAGGACTCGTCCACATAAAGAGTTTGGTACCTGAAGTATTCTCCAAGCTTCCTTGGCGAGCATAGCTTGGTTGAAAGCTTCACGGTCGCGAAATCCAAGCCCGCCCTCATGTTTTCTCGTGCACATTTTCTCCCAAGCGACCCAATGCACCTTTTTTGACCATTTGCTTCACCCCACCAGAAGTTCGAGGAGATAGATGACAGATTCCCGCACAATTTTCTTCGTGAGTTGAAAACATCTCATGGTAAATGTTGGTGTTGATTGGAGGCCCGACTTAACAAGCCCCTCTCTCGTCGTCTTGGACAGACCTTGTCCCTTCCACCTGCCTACTTTTCCTCTAGCGCTCTCCTTGACATATTTGAAAGTTCTGTCCTTCGATTTCCCAACAACTGTGGGGAGCCCTAGATATCTCTCGCTCAGAGCCTCCTCTGAAATGCCAATAATTTGCTGCACCTCCTGTTTCATACAATCCGAGCTGCCCTTCCCAAAGAAGATTGCAGATTTTTGTAAGTTAACTTTCTGTCCTGACGCCACTTCATACTCCTGCAAAATGATACGGAGAGCTTCAAAGTTATCTCGGGATCCCTCCAGGAACACTACACTATCATCTGCGAAGAGGAGATGAGTAATAGTCGGCCCATTGCTCCCAAAAGACACCCCCTTTATTTCCTTTTTACTCTATGCGTGATACGTCTCCGTCGTATCTATAATTTATTGATTGTTCCATGCCAATATTATACAACTTTCATATACTTTTGGCAACTTTTTATACTATTTTTGGGACTAACATATTGATCCAGTGCCCAATGCCAGTTCCTATTTGTTGCATGTTTTTTGTTTCGCAGAAAATCCATATCAAATGGAGTCCAAACGGGATAAAAACGGACGCAGAATATTTTTGGAATATTCATGAATTTTGGGAAGAAGAATCAACGCGAGATGATGCTCGAGGGGGCCACGAGGCAGGGGGCGTGCCCCTGACCCTCGTGGAC